AAAACAATCCCATTCTGCAGTCCCTTAATAAAACATATCAGGATCTAGAACAGTTTTCAGACTTAGAGGTAGAGTCCAAATGTGGGAGCTGAGTGCCTCTCTCCCACTGTGCCAACCACAAGACAGACAGGAAAACTTTCCTTTCAAACCCCACAGATTCACTTTCTCTTTCCAGACTCAGTTTCTTTCCCCAGGAGGCTCTTGTAGACCCAAGAATGTATCCCATTCCCGCCCCTCATGCAAGCTCCCATACCTTTCCTTCCTTTTTCTCTCTTCATTTCCAGAGTGGTTGTATGGGTTGGCCTGAAAGAATCAGGGCACTTGGCCTGGGGAGGCCAGGGCAAGATGCCACTGAAGGCTGGCACCGCCCAACCCTGGCCTGACCCAGCACAGAACTAGATGGCTTCAGTACAGCTCAGGCATGATGAACCACCAGAGGGAGCACACTTAAGCCATCATCTAATGGCTTCCTGGTGTATTTCACAATAATAGCTATTGGCAACAAGCAGCCCTGGCACATGGGTACATGCTAACCTGTAAGCACACAATAGTCAGTTAACATGGACCATCACCGCCGTCATAGTCCCTCAGCTTGGAGGAACCAGGCCTACCCAGGTGTATAACAACCCTGCCCAGCCAGACCCAAACTGCAGTCAGAGAAGGGTCCCCCAATGCTCAGGGGCAATGGAAAGGCATAAGGAGGAATAGGCCCAGTTGTAGTGTTTAGTGTCAAGGGTCCCATTCCTCACTGTCCCTCTCCATCCCTCCGCCGGGGTCCCCATTTCCCCTGCCCAGGCTGACCACTCTTAGCTGGGGAGTAGTGCGGAGTTCCATGGTCCCCTCCCTAGAACGGCCGCCCCCTCGGGCCTCCCCAGAGCCCTCAAAGAGCCGTGTGAGGAAACGGGGACCTGCTCGGGGCAGCAGATCCCCGGCGGTGAAGACATATAGCACCGGGTTGACGCTGGAGCTAAAGAAGGCCAAGGCCGTAGTTCCCGCCCGCGCCGCCTGGCCGGCCCCGCCAATCCTCGCCAAGGCCCCTTCCGGCGGAGCAAGCGCGGCGGCCGCCTGCAGAAGGTTGACCGCGTGGTAGGGCGCCCAAAGCAAGCCGAAGGCGAGCACGATGGCGCTCACCAGCCGGCCCACCCGCTTCCCTTGCCGCCCGGAGCCCCAGCGGGCGCCCCGCAGCCGCGCCAGCGTCACGCTGTAGCAGCCGAGCGTCAGCCCAAAAGGAAGCACGAAGGCGGTCAGAGTCTCCAGGCTCAGGTGGGCGGCGGCGTGGGCCGGCGACGGGTGGCACAGCTGGCACACACGGCCCTTCCACAGGTGGCGGTAGACGGCAGCTGGGACGGCGAGCAACAGGGCGGCCAGCCAGACCGCGAGCAGCAGGCGGCGGGCCAGGGCCGGGCTGCGCAGCCGGGGCGCCAGGAAGGGGCGGGTGACGGCGAGGCAGCGCTGCAGGCTGAGCAGGCTGGTGAGCAGCACGCTGGCGTACATGCTGAGCGCGCACACGTAGTACACCGCCTTGCAGCCCGCCTGGCCCAGCGGCCAGGCCTGCCCGGTCAGGAAGGCCACGAAGACCGGCGTGAGCAGCAGCACCGCGCCGTCGGCCAGCGCCAAGTGCAGCACGAGCGTGGCCGCCAGCGGCCGCCCCCGTGCAGGCCGCCAGCCCGCCAAGCTCCACACTACGAAGCCGTTGCCAGGGAGCCCCAGCAGCGCCGCCAGCAGCAGGAAGACCGTGCCTGTGGCCCGCGAGGCCTTCCAGCTCAGCAGCGTCTCGTTCCCTGGGGGGCGGTAGCAGACCGACATCCTTCTTGGCCTACAGTGGGGTGGAGGGGCCACAGAAGGCATTCAGGGCTGGGCAGAAGCCCACGTTTTCTCCGACGCCCCGTGGGAAGGGACTGTGCCTCCCCCCTACCCCTTTCCTGCAGCCTGCCTCTCTTCTGTCTGGGAGCCTTGATTTCCTAAACTCAAATACTCCTTCTTGGAACTCAGATCCCCTGCTCCCAGTCAGCTGACTTCCCCCACGCCAGGCTCCTTCCCAGAGCCCCAGGTCCACACTCCAGGCTGTCACTATCTCCACCTCCACCCTTCTAGCCTGGCCCCTCCTTCTTTGTCCAGCCCCATTCCTTATACCTCAGGGCAAAAGTGAGTGGTGGGGAGCAAAGTGGCATGAGCAGCTCTACTTACGCAGCTGGGAGCACGCTGGGTTGGGGTTCTCCACGGGCCCTAGGAAGCTGAAAGGTGCAGCAGCAGTGGGTGAGGTGCCTACTCCTGTCCGGCGCCTGTCACATTTACAGAAGGTGAGGCGTGAATGGGGAGGGACAAGATGGGCTCACCCTGGGCCTTCCTGGGGCCCCTCCCTCACCCTACTCCTTCCCATCACTAACACGTCCAGGCGTGTGAAAGCCTGCCTCCCCAGGAAACAGGAGGGGAGTAGGAGCACTCTGCTGAATCCTGACCCTGGTCCTGCTTCTGTTCTCATCGCTCCCCTAGCTCTGACCCCAATCCTCCCAGCCCACCTCATGCACCACTGATGTTCCCTGGCCTTCTTGGCCTAGACACAGCAGAGGAGGTGACCTGAACTCATTCCCCCACCTGCTCTATCTTTGCCTGTTTCCAGCCTCCTTGTCCTGCTGAGCCACCCTTCTTCCTCAGCTCCTGGCCTGCCTCCTCCCATCTCTTGCTTTGGACCCAGTCCCAGTCACTCCACCCCCAGGGCTCTCACTGGGCTTTCAAATGTCAGCTTTTCCATGTGAGGCATGGTGCTAAGGTTTGGGGGGTGGGGAGGTAGGAATGAACAGAGGTATAAGGGGCTTATAACCTGGTTGGGGAGTTGTAACACACAACCTTGAAGAGACCACACTACCAGGCTGCACTAAGACATAAGAAAAGGTAAAATGGGCCGGGCGCGGTGGCTCACGCCTGTAATCCTAGCACTTTGGGAGGCCGAGGCGGGCGGATTGTTCGAGGTCAGGAGTTCGAAACCAGCCTGAGCGAGACCCTGTCTCTACCAAAAAATAGAAATAAATTAATTGACCAACTAAAAATATATATACAAAAAATTAGCCGGGCATGGTGGCGCATGCCTGTAGTCCCAGCTACTTGGGAGGCTGAGGCAGTAGGATCGCTGAGCCCCGGAGATTGAGGTTGCTGTGAGCCAGGCTGATGCCACGGCACTCACTCTAGCCTGGGCAACAAAGTGAGACTCTGTCTCAAAAAAAAAAAAGAAAAGGTACAATGGTAAAGACATACCGAGAAGCAGCCCTCTCTTCTTAAGAGGTCAGGCAAAGCTTGGAAATGAAGAGATTTGATAGAGGCAAGGAAATCAAGAGCTGGAGAAGGGAAAAGAAAGACCTCTGCCCAGTCAATAGCCGGAACTGGGGGTTCCTTGGGAACCAGGACACCAGCATATATCTTACTTTGGGTTCCTCCAAAGCAGAGCCTGAGTAAGGGCATGGGCATAGGTTATGCTGTATTTGGAAGATCAACTCAGGAAGCCAGAGTGAGGGAGCAGGGTAAGATAGGGAACAGGAAAGCCAACAAGAACATGTTTTTGAGTCCATTCATCAGGCGCTGGGAACCTCTGCCCAAGACAGAAGACTGGGGCTTGCCCCATTATTTGAGGATTATCTCAGGACATTAATGATTAATGCCCCATAACTTGCAGCCTGTACTTGTCAAGGGGTTGAGTGAGCTGCCAGAGTTTCTGATGATGCTTGTTCTGTCCCAGCTGAAGTTGCCCCAAAAGTGGTGGCAGGGGAATTCCCACAAGGGAGTGTCCCAAACTGTCCAGAGATGGGGCCAGTTGGGATTCCAAAGAAAGGAGCTCACATACAATGGGATCAGTCCAGAGCATTTATTTGGGGAACTTACAGAGTGAACTGCAGCAAATCCTCATGACAGTGAGAGATGTTTTACCTACGTATGTCCACAAAAACAGAATCAAGGTGTGGAGTTTATATATGAGGGTTTAAGGAGTTTGGATTAGAGTCAGGGTCAGTTTCTTTCTGTGTTTTGGGCAACAACCTAAACCCTAAACACCTTTATCAGTGCCTGGGAATGGTTAAAACCGTGGCTTGAGCTCAAGCCTGCAGGAGAAATGCAGCTGGCTGGGTCACAGGGCAATCAAGGCACTCTGTTTCTCACTCAGGACACAGAAAGTGAGGAAACTGGGGGACCCTGCAAGTCTCCTGGGCAGGAAAGCAGAAATTGTGCTCATTTGAGGGGTTCAATGTCAGTGAGAGTCTGAGCTTCCATGCAATTGTCCACCAAAGTTGCAACTGAAATCAGAGATGGGACACAGGGTGCCAAAACCTAACGCGTCCTGATGCCATCAAAAGACATTTCCTGCCCCACTCACATCTTCTTCATGCCCACTAATTGGCAAAGGAAAAAGGTGAGAGAGGTCACTACTTCCGTGTGGCTGAAGCAGACAGTTTCGGAGAATGAAGCCAGAGCAATGTTGCGCCAGCCTCTCCCCTCGACCAAGGAGGCAGGATCAGGTAAGCAGGAAGGCCAGGGTCCCAGACAGAACCCTGGTGACCCTAGATCAGGATCCATTCTCTCCTCACACCCCTCCCAAACACACTGACTTACCTCTGATTTTCCCCAAGCCCCGCCCACGCGCCCATCCAATTCCCCAACCTCAGCCCCGCCCCTTTCCCTAAAGCTGCAGCTCATAGCTTTTCCAGTAGGTGGCAGCACATACAGTGCAGCGCACATATAATGCCCCTTCTCAGAGGCTGAGAGCCAGAAACTGTTCCCAGATATTCCCTCCACAGAAATAAAAACACCAGACATCACATTCCATCCCTTTACACTTACCCATCCATTTACTCTCACAACACACGCCCTCACCAGAGACACATGCGCAAGCTCCTGTAGCATTTGCTGGACAGTTCTTCCTCCACGACCCCATTGAGCCCCTCCTCCCTCCCTCCCCTTGGACTTTGCCTTCTTTACTGGCCAGGCAGGGGGGCCAGAGTCCAGGCTTGACTCATTTCCTACCTCATCCAGGGCTGAGATCCCAGGTTTCTAACAGAAAACACCACTTCAGCCCCAGGACAGCAGAGAACCACCCAGCCCAGAAGCCCCAGAAGAGGCAACTCTCTTCACCATGGAGTACCTCTCAGCCCTCAACCCCAGCGACATGCTCAGGTAACTTCTAACCCTTCTCTCTGCCCTCCAACTCTAGGGATATGGATAGGGCAGCAAAACTCCATTTAGCCCTAGAAGACTCACTCGGTTGTACCCCATTCTGTCCTGCCCCCACTCCCCAGTGGGTTGGTCCAGCTTCTGAAGTCCACCCCCACTCTATGGTCTCTCCCTTTCTCCCTCCTCTAATCTGCTACCCTAACCTGGAAACCTAGATCCCTCCCTCCCTAGCCCTCCAGCCAGCCCACCCTCATCATCCCCACTGTATACACCAAGCCCCTCTGTGCCCCTTTTTGACCTTTCTTCCCAACTACCAGGTCCGTGTCTAATATGAGCTCCAAGTTTGGACGTAGGGTCTGGACCTCAGCTCCACCACCCCAGCGACCTTTCCGTGTCTGTGATCACAAGAGGACTATCCGGAAAGGTCTGACAGCTGCCACCCGCCAGGAGCTGCTAGACAAGGTGAGCCAAGTGCCTCGGTTCCTACATCAAGAGCAGCCAAGGGGGTGAGAATAGTGACAGTTTGGGACGATGGAGCAGAAAGGTCTGAGGCCCCACCATTGTCCCTACCCTGAGGGCTAAATGCAGGGGGGGGTAAGCCCAATGACCTCTGCTGCATTTGGGGCAACTGGTTTATTTTCCATAGTGAGCGTTTCTTTGGGAGAAGGGAAAGCAGTAGGTGGCAGAGGGTTGGAAAGATAAAATTCAGAAGTCAGTATGCAAGGGCAATTTGTATGACAAATCAAGTTCAAATCCTGTTTCTGCCATTTCCTAGTTGTCACACCTTGGGAAGTTATTCAACCTATCAAAACTTCAGTTTCTTCATCTAAAAAAAATAGGCCGGGCGCGGTGGCTCACGCCTGTAATCCTAGCACTCTGGAGGCCGAGGCGGGCGATTGCTCGAGGTCAGGAGTTCGAAACCACCTGAGCAAGAGGAGACCCCGTCTCTACTATAAATAGAAACAAATTAATTGGCCAACTAATAATATAGAAAAAATTAGCCGGCATGGTGGCGCATGCCTGTAGTCCCAGCTACTCTGGAGGCTGAGGCAGAGGATTGCTTGAGCCAGGAGTTTGAGGTTGCTGTGAGCTAGGCTGACGCCATGGCACTCACTCTAGCCTGGGCAACAAAGCGAGACTCTGTCTCAAAAAAAAAAATTAAAAAAATAAAAAATAATAATAATATATCACCTCCTAATGTTAGGTCCGGAGCCGAGACAGAGAGAGAGAGAGACAGACAGACAGACAGACACACACACACCACACGAAGCCTCATGTGTAGCAAAATGTTATTTATTTTGGACATCTGGGTGTAAATGGGTAGAGGCCAAAGGGTATTCACACTGAAGTAGGGGAAAGTCTTGGATTTTATAGAGGGTTTCTTAGTGGGGAGTGAGTACCTGAGCCAGAACAGCCACTGAAATAAAATTTTTTTTTGTAAATAATTTCTGGGACCCCTGGGTCAGTCTTATCCTGTAGAGATAAGGGAGGGGGGTAGTTCAGTCCTTATCAGGGGGATAGGAATGCTAGCTACAATTGTCTGATGGGTTTATAACTTCCAGGCACTCTCCAGACTCCTGCGGCTATTGTTTCACAAACCTTGTGAAACTGCATTCTGTATCCCCTATATACTTTCATTCTGTGTCCCCTACATACTTTCCAAACTGCATTCTGTGTCCCCTACATACTTTCCAAACTGCATTCTGTGTCCCCTACATACTTTCCAAACTGCATTCTGTGTCCCCTACATACTTTCCCAGTTCCCACCTGGAACAAAGTTAACACTAGGGTTGTTGAAAGAAGTAAAAGGGGATAACGTATGTAAAGTGTTCACGCACATAGTGACTCGAAAAGGTTAAACACTACTACTCCAAACAGTTCCGGAGAACTCCAAGGATGGGGAAAGAGTGAGGTGGGACGTTGTAAATAAGATAGAAGGATGGACTTGAAGAGAATCTGGCTAGCTTTTCAATTCCAAACCAGTAGGAGTGGCGAGTGGCTTAGAGGAGAGCAGAGGGAGATGACAATGACATGGTAGCAAAGAGGAAAAAGTCAGTCCCTAGTGAGGGTCTCCCAACAACTAAATAACACTGAGAGTTGCAGCCTTTAGAAAGAATGGCAAAGTGCCAGGAAGTAGACTGGAGTGTCCACCAGTGTCTAGGGCCAACCAATGGATGCTGCACAGCTAAACAGGAGAAGGGCATGGGATAAGATCTGCCCCTTCCTTCCTGCTTTTGGCCATTGTGTAGGCCCTGGAGACCCTGCTGCTGAGTGGAGTGCTAACCCTGGTGCTAGAGGAGGATGGGACTGAAGTGGAGAGCGAGGACTTCTTCCAGCTGCTGGAGGATGACACATGCCTGATGGTGCTGGAGTGCGGGCAGAGCTGGAGCCCCACCAGGGTGAGGCCCATGCTAGTGCTGCTTACACCACCAATTCCTCGTAGCTCTCCCAAGCTTCTTCTCTAACCTAACCCAGACTTGGGGGCAGAGGTGCTGGGAGAGCTGTGGAGTTGTCAAGGACATCACACAGTGCACAGACAGTCCAGGGAAGGGTGGGTCTGATCCAGTGCTGACGGGGATTAGTGGTGGGCAGCAGGGCATGAGGGCTCACGGCACTACTGGGGGTGCCCTACAGAGTGGAATGCTGTCCTATGGCCTGGGCCGGGAGAAGCCCAAGCACAGCAAGGACATCGCCCGCATCACCTTTGATGTGTACAAGCAAAACCCTCGAGACCTCTTTGGCAGCCTGAACGTCAAAGCCACATTCTATGGGCTATACTCCATGAGTTGTGATTTTCAAGGACTCGGCCCAAAGAAAGTACTCAGGTCAGAAATCAAAATGTCCTACTTCCCCATCCCCAACATGTGGACAGTCCCCATAATTCCTGCTCTGATACCTACCTATCCCCAGTTAGCTCTTGCTTGTGGAAAACTTTCAGCCCCCAGCTTGATGGCCTCCTCCTGGGTTTCCCTAATCATCTGATTTCCTTGTCTCTGCCCTTCAGGGAGCTCCTTCGCTGGATGTCCATGCTGCTACAAGGCGTGGGCCACATGCTGCTGGGAGTTTCCTCCACCCTTCGCCATGTAGTGGAGGGAGCTGAGCAGTGGCACCAGCAGGGTCGCCTCCGTTCCTACTGAGAAAGGGCTCTGAGCTTCTGTCCCCAGACTCATTCCAAGAGATACACTGTGACAGCGTCAGGTTTCAGGACCTGCAGACAGTGCAGGCTATATAACTTACCCCATTTTCCCACTGTCCTCTGACCCCATCATGACAGAATTCATCACCATAATGCCTTATACCCTAAACCTATACCATTACCTGAAGAATGCTGTCCCTTCCTACCCACATTTTCAGCCTCCCACTTAACCTGAAAGGCCACAAGCCTGTCCCCAGGCATCTTAATCCCAATCTGACTGCTGCTACATCTAGATCCCTTACCAACTCCTCCTGTCCCTAAGCCCCGCGCAAACTGATGAACAGATCCTCTCTAACCTTACCGTGAGATCTGTCTCCATATCCTTCCCCACCCCACCCAAAATAAAAACATTTGAATAAAAATATGAAAATGTTTACCAATAAGACTTTCAAATCCAATTTAAAGCAGGAAAGAATGGGATGCTTCTCTTTTCACCCTCTCCCACCAACAACCAGTTCCAGATCCAAAGGCCTCAGCCTTCAAGTATGGAGTTCAATGCCCGCCTCCGCTTAGCCACTGCACCCTGCTGCTGTTCCCAAGCCTCTCGTCGCTTCAGGAAGGTAGTCAGTGCCACATTTCGGGCCACATGGTGGCCAAAAGGGTCTCTTATCAGCTCCTGGTTCTGCTCCCCTGCAAAGGAAACCACTCATGTTTAGTATCACCCATGCTCAAAGATAGACTCTACTTGGAGTGAAGGACCCTCCATTTTCCTCAGACCCTAGACCTGCCACTGAGATAGACTGAACACTCCCCAAAGAACAGAAGCCAAGAAGAGGGGTGGAAGCAGAGTACTGCACAATCAGTCAGCAGAGGGGAAGGGGAAAGCAGACTGCTAAGAACACACAAGTAATGCCGGGTGCGGTGGCTCACGCCTGTAATCCTAGCACTCTGGGAGGCAGAGGCGGGCGGATTGCTTGAGGTTAGAAGTTCGAAACCAGCCTGAGCAAGAGCAAGACCCCGTCTCTACTATAAATAGAAACAAATTAATTGGTCAACTAATATATATAGAAAAATAACTAGCCAGGCATGGTGATGCATGCCTGTAGTCCCAGCTACTTGGGAGGCTGAGGCAGCAGGATTGCTTGAGCTCAGGAGTGTGAGGCTGCTGTGAGCTAGGCTGACGCCATGGCACTCACTCTAGCCTGGGCAACAAAGCGAGACTCAGTCTCAAAAAAAAAAAAAAAAAAAACAAAAAAACCCACAAGTAAGACTACTTTTTGGATCCCCAGCCACTCAGCTATCTGGAGTAAGAAAAAGGAAATTCTGGAAACATCAAAGGGAGGTGCTGATACTCACCCAGCTCAGTAGCAATTTCCTTCCGGGCCCCCAAGGCTGCTGCGTTCCAGATGGCATCTAACACTCGGCTGCCATGGCGACTACAGGCCAGAGCCACATACTGTCCCTGCATTGAAACAAGCAAGGTAGGTCCCTCTAGGGAAGTCCATGAAAGTGTGCTGGGGGTGAAGGGGGAAGGGGGAGTGAAGTTTCTGAAGAGTTTAGAGGCTAAGTCAAAATAGTCTAGAAATGACGTATCTTCTCTTTAAAGGTATAGTCCTGGGGGAAGCTCATATTCTCTAAATGGATGATGGCGGGAAATCAAGGCAGAAGCCAGATGTCTAACCTTTAGGGTCTGTAGCACACGGCGGCGCTGTTTTCGTGTCACAGAGGGGCTGGTCAAGATGGCATCCAGCACGTGGGAGCCAGCAGGGCTTTGGGCCAGAGCCAGAAGTTGTGGTCCTGTCAAAGCACCCAGACTTCGAAGTACAAGACCAGGAGTGGAGAAGTGCAGCAGATGCTGGAGCAGTAGAGACCCAAGGACTGTCACTTCCTCCAGGGACCTGGCTGCGGCTATTTCCACCTAGAAGCACAGAGATAGGAAATTAGGAGGCAGCTACCATGCCAGGTGGATGAGCCCAAGCCCAGGATAAAGCTACCTCCACCTAGATGAAGTCAGAGATCTCACCACCCTCACCTCAGGAGAGGCTTCCTAAGCCCTGCAAGGCCTGGCCCCTGATTAGTCACTGGCTTGGCCTCTCCCCTACCTCACCTGGTGCTCCGCAGGCACTGCCCCCTCCTCCTCCTCCATCAGTCCATAGTACACCTCGTAAGCCATCAAAGTGGCAAAGAGAGGTACACAGGCCACTTGCCGGGATGAGGGCTCTGCACAGTGGAATGCCTAGAGGGGAAGACAAAACATGACGATCCTGAGAACTTCCCTGTCCCTAACCTCAACTTTCTAGACAGGGAAAACATTCAGAGAAGGCCTAACTCCACAGAAATGTAAGCTCTGTGAAGGCGGGATCTCATCTGCCTTCCTGTATCCCTAGCCTCTATCCATATAACAGGGGTTGAATAAACATATACTCCTTAAACAAACTTCTTAGTTCTGGGAGATAATTTTCATTCCAGGGCTGTAAAATGGCTTTGGCCTCATTCTTCCCTGTATTTGTGAACTCTCTAAGGCTTTAGACCACTTGGGTCCAGAGGTACAATGACTTAAGATTAGATAAGTCCTAACAGGTAGAATTTGGACCAATAACACAAATGGGTCACATGTAACATCCACTCACCTCCAGCAACAGCTGCAGGACCTGGGCTTGGTGGGCCCCAACTCTGCGGCAGGCCCCCACCAGGGCAACAACTACCCCTGGGTGGCCCTGGGCCAAGACAGCTTCCAGGGCAGGGCTCAACTCCTCAAATACAGGGGACAGCTGAGGGGAAACATGGGATAAAGAATCTTTGGCATTCTAGTACTGTTGGGCTAAGTTATTGAAAGAAATCTTCCCGCTGAAAACAACTAAAAATGCTAAATAAAACATAAAAAGCACAGTGGCTCACACCTGTAATCCTAGCACTCTGGGAGGCCAAGGTGGGAGGATTGCTTGAGGTCAGGAGTTCGAGACCAGCCTCAGCAAAAGCAAGACCCCATCTCTACTAAAAACAGAAAAACTTAGGCAGGCGTGGTGGTGAGTGCCTATAGTCCCAGCTACTTGGGAGGCTGAGGCAGGAGGATCACCTGAGCCCAGGAGTTAGAGGTTGCTGTGAGGTGGGCTGACACCATGACACTCTAGCCCAGACAACAGAACAAGACTCTCAAAAATAATAATAATAATTTTTTAAAAATCATAAAAAACATTGTCAATATCAAGAGTTTTGTTTGGCTGGACAAAGCCCAGGGCGAGGGGGCAGTCCCAGAAGTGCCACCTCACAGAGGAATAGAGACCTTAAATGGCCCCCCTCTATGTGTAAGGGAGAATTAGAGGGTAATGGAAGACTAGAATTAAATCTGCCCTTCCACTCTAACTCACAACCCATGAGACCACAGGGAAGCCTTCCTTGGTGCTAAGCAGTAAAAGAAAAGAGAAGCTATGGCAAAAACCCCAGCAATCATGTGGATTTATAGCCAAGTACCCAGAGTCTGAGTGGGCCATGGAATCTCAAGCTGCAAACTTGAATTAAGCCAGTCTCCTACTTGTACTCATACCTGAGAGAAGCCAAAACAAATCCTCTCTGAGAGGAGGGCACCTTCATCTTAAGCTCTGGAAAACCTCAAGGAATAACTTTTCAAGGAAGATGGTCAGCATATTATCAAAGATACATAGAAACAGATACACAATGAAATAAGGCCCAATGATTAAGAATTAGCAGACAGACACCCAGCCCAGGTTTCCAACTCACCAGCTCAGAGGTAGTGATTGCATCTAGTAAGCGCTGCAAAGGGAAGTTGGCAATGGGATGTGCAGCCAGGGTCTGCAGCTGCCCCTGGAAGTGATTCTCAAAGAGGCTCTGGAGCCTTGGGGGCTCCAACACAAGCAGCACCTGCTCTAGGAGTCTGGAGCTCGTCTGATCCCGTAGAAATAGCAGTAAGGGACTGAGGACAAGAAGGGGATCAGGCAGTCTTAATGTCACTTCATCCAAAATACAGTTGTACCACATTACCTCATTCCTTTCACACAACCCCACCAACCTTGGTCAATCCTGAGCCCCTGACCATACCTGCCATCCGCTGAGGAATTACGAGTACTCAGGTAGTCAATCACAGCATTGCAGAGATGGGCACAAAACTGGGGCTGTCTGCGGTGTAAAATCTGTAAGGCCACTTGAAGGCAGAAGCTGGAGATCTTGTCGGTGATAAACACTGTGGGGAAAGGACCAAAAATTAGCAGCTTTCCCCAAATCCAAACAAACTGCACAACCTCAAACCTGAAGCAACAAGATACAGGAGTCCATGGACACAAGAGGTCTATACATAGTGCTTGGCAACATCAAACCAAACAGGTTTGAAAAGAACAAGAATAACCTGACCTAAGGGCCTTGCTTAGTGGTAATCACCACCAGAAAAGTAGACTCTAGACCCCCCCTCCCACTTCCCTCCTTACCAGCAATGTCCTTCAGAAAGCAGGAGCTCAGGTCCTGAAGGCAATTCAAGAAGGTTTCAGGGACCTCAAAATCAGTTGGTTTACATTCTCGAGCTGGGACCCTTTGTGCTTCTGAAGAAAGATCAAAAACATGTGCATCCACACAGAAGCGCCACAAAAAGAAAAAAATTAAAAAAAAAAAACAACAAAAAACATGTGCAGTGGTGAGATCACGAAGTGCCACTCAGGAGGGAAAAGAATTCCACAGATGAATAAGGATTCAGCTTGGAGATGCAGAACAAATATGACACAACTGAATGTCTCTTCTAGATGATTGAACTCAGACTACATTTCTGTTGTAATTTCTCTAAGAAACTTCAACCAGCTCCCCCATGGCCCATAGGTGATAGCTCAAACTCCTCAGCCAGGTATTCAAGGCATTCCAAAATCAGGCATCATTTAAATTCTCTAAACTTATTTCCCAGAGTTTTTCAAAATGTAGCTCACAGCCTATGACTGTATCATGAAATCAAATTAGTTGTCTCAATCAGCATTTTTTTTTTTTTGGGACAGAGTCTCGCTTGTTGCCCAGGCTAGAGTGAGTGCTGTGGCATCAGCCTAGCTCACAGCAACCTCAAACTCCTGGGCTCAAGCAATCCTTCTACCTCAGCCTCCCGAGTAGCTGGGACTACAGGCATGCACCACCATGCCCGGCTAATATTTTATATATATTAGTTGGCCAATTAATTTCTTTCTATTTATAGTAGAGACGGGGTCTTGCTCTTGCTCAGGCTGGTTTCGAACTCCTGACCTCGAGTAATCCGCCCGCCTCGGCCTCCCAGAGTGCTAGGATTACAGGCTTGAGCCACCGCGCCCGGCCTCAATCAGTATTTTTTTAAAATGAAATAGAGCAGAATAAAGGAAAAAAAGGAAAACAAAATCAGAGTGGGTTTCGTGTAGTAAAGGTATTGTTTCCCAAACTTTTGCTTGAGTCCAGTATGTGTATTTTACACACG